TCTGCATTTTTTAATAGCTTTCATGCATAGGATCCATGTTTCTCACTGGAGAGCACAAAATGATCGAATATTTTCCATTTATGCACATAGCGGTTTCCGGGCAGAGAACTTCTTCAACTTTTCGAAAGTGTACAATGCCAGTTTTGTTCTTCTTGATTAAAAATGATCAGTTCTTTGTGTTAGAAGTCAGCTGTCCCAGATAGACGTAGTTTTACACTTCTGCAGGCATATGTTCCTTTGACTTCAGCAGCTTCTACATGACCTGAGTTTTCTTCAGATTCATTTGCAGTCCTACTTCCCTTCTGGTGCTGTTAAGCTCTTTAATTCTTTGGAGTTCTGATGCGCTTGCTGCTCTCATTCTCAAACCGGTTGTGGCTTGATTAGTTCTCGCTTATGTTCAGCCCTTGATTTTCTCAAGGAAATGTCATATAAGCCTCTTCTAGATCTTCTGCGAATAACTTTGCTGATACTGCATCAGCCTTTTCTATTTTTATCTCGGTTGTGCCTTAGTAATGATTCACACTAACAGTTGCATTTTTGTAGGTTTTGTACCTCCTCGACTCCTTGACTTCTCAAGGAATCCATTACACAACGGATGTATATTAAATCGAAAGTCTTCTCGAAATCGACGTATTCCAATCAGAGCGGAAACTGATATTCACTACTTGTCTGAATTACTTGCTGTATCATCTGACTTGCTGTATGATCCATCATATACTAAATTCACTTGCCATACTGCATCTTAGTCTTGCATTCTCCTTTGGTCGTGGAGCGTCCAGTGTTTTTTGATGTCTGTTCATCAGCACCATCCAGATACTGTTGATGAATGGCAACAAACTAATCAGCCTGTGGCTCTTCAGATTATCCTCTGCATTTTTGTGGGGTAAAATCATTGATTCGGTAGCCCAATCGTCTGGGACTTTCGGTTCCTTCGGACAGCGTGAAAACAAACATGCTTATTTGTTCAAAAGTTCTTCACACGGCTGATTCCACTGCATCTTGCGCTTCTTCTGGCAATATATCTGTAGTTTCGCCTCATTCATTTGTATCTTCAGGTGAAATCGTCAAGAAGAATGTTGCTGTCTTCATATTTTAATAGTTTTATACAGAAATCTTTCCAGAACATCTCTACCCCTGATGACTGTCGTGTATTCTGTTTTGACCGCTAAAATATCTCATTTCACAACCGTCATTTTTTGATTTAGTTTCTTAATGCTTCGATTGTTCTTGGTACTTTCTTTTTTTCTGCAGTTGAATGGTCAGCTGTCTTCTTTTATGCGTTTCCTTATAGTTTTGCAAAGTTCGACGTATTCAGTCACTGATTTGTTATTCGTTGTGTTTATTTCTCTTCGTTTTTTCATAATTTCGTTCATCGGTTTTCTGTCGACCTTCATTATCCTTGTTCCAGAGATTTTTCAGTCGTTTCTCCAGCTTCCTTCGTTATATCCCGATGCATTATTTCAATGTTCACTGCTTCTCCTGTTTACATTCCATGTAATGCTTCGAATCGGCAGTTCAGTTTCAGTTCGAATAGCGGGTGATTTTTCTTTAATGTTTAGACATAGAGTGCCTTGCGCCTCGTCCTCATCGATTTCCTCCTTTCCAAAGCTGAGTCCAAGCGCACTTTGTATCTGACGAGCCTGTGATTGCTGCCAAGATCCTGCAATGTGTTGTTTTTGTTATCGAAGATATAATCGATTTCATTCTTGGCGTCGTATGGGCCTTTCCATGTCCATCTTTCGTTTAGTGTTTCTGAAAAGGTTTGCGTGAGAAATAACTTGTTGTTTCCAGCAAACTCCACTAATTGAATATCCTTGTCATTCCTTTCGCCGTAATCATATTGGCATTCGTTTTCTTGCTACTGTCAGACTTTGGCGCTGAAACCACCGACGATAAATCTGTAATGGTTCTTTCCATGTTGGTGCACTTCTATTTTTTTTGTAAAAATCTTCACTCTATTAGAATGTCTTGATGTCGGCGAGTATACTTCGATCACCTGGAGTTCGTATCTCTGAAACTCTCGGAACCAGTTTTACTCACCTCTGAAGTGCTGTCCACTTTTAGTAGATTGTTTCTTAATCTTTTGTGGATAATTAACCATGCTCCCTGTCGAGCAGGAGGTGTCGAATTTTGAGCTCTGACAGCCCGCCCATCTTTTGTCTGACTTCACCGAGTCTTACAATGTCCCACTTTATTTTTCTAAGTTCTTCCAGCTCGAAGCGTTGCTTCATTTAGAAGTGATCCGCAGTTTTGCGTTGCCAGCGTTAGTAAACCGTAGAAGTTCCGATGCATAACCTGAGTATTATTTGTACCGTCGATCTTGATGCCTAATCAGCTGCTTCCTCGCCAGCGGCAATCCAACCTCCGGACAGTGACGCCGTAGGTTTAGTTGTGATTTCGTCTTGGATGATTTAACTGTGACGCATTACGCTGACCAGGTGGGCTAGTGTGTGTTGCTTCTTGCACTTGTCTATACTTCTGAAACTTTACAGCATGATCAAACCTGCCATGGCCTACAAGCTCAGTTAAATATCCTCTTGAGAAACTTTTGTCACCTCCTACCGTGTTGAAGTAATGGAACTACCAGTTAGGAGGGGCTATCACTATATTCTACCGGATAATCTGGCCTTGGATGAGTTAGGCCCCGTTTTACATATTCCAGCGTAGAAACATTTTTATGTTTATGCGTTGGCATATGTGGAGTTCCAGTTGATGAAATAGTTCCTAACGAGCGCATAATAATCCTAGAGAACGAAATGATGCGAGTTGCATCTGACAACATGTGCTCAAATGCCACGGATCTGTGATCGGCTAAGGTGACTCACTAGACAGCTAGGAGCAATGAGAAGATGATACGCACCACTAATCTGGTCTTGGAGGAGTTATGCGTTATTTTGCTGCTACATATTACGTTACCAACTGTCCTTCCGCACCCCGTCTTTCACATATATCTGTGAATGATGTGCTGGTATTGCCCATTTGGCATTTGGATGCCAGAAAGTGAACGGTCACTCCTGTAGTAAATCTATAAATCCTATCCCGGGCGTCCCTGTCGATCGCTTATACATTCACTTCACTGAAGTGGAATCGTTTCACACTGGCGCGAAAAGCCCTTTTCAAAATGACCATTGCAGACTGTGAACGTCTGACGCAAAGCCATCTTTAGGTTTTACTTTCATAAATTCTGATGCAATCATGACATTTTATTTTATGAATTACGTTTATGGTTTCTGCAGAGTTGTTCCTGGGAAGACATTTATTAAAAATAACGATTTCCGATGTTATTTTAGCTTTGTATTGAACCATTGACATCATTTTCATTAGGTGCCTTTTGACTAGTTTCGAAATATGTGGATAAAGTGAAATAAAATATATAGATCTGTTTATATATGGTTGAAATCAATGGCTTAGTGGATGAATTCACTTATTGCAGTTCTTTACAATAGTTCGTGATGGTGAAAAACGCAGTTTTGCCACTTGTTAATTGTTTAACAGAATAATTGACACGCTGCTGCTTATTAG